GCTTCCTGAAATGAGGACAAGCTTGCTAATGAAGACATCAATCAGTATTGCACTCTGTAGTGCTCTCAAAAAGACCACACTAATTACAGGCATTCAGGTGGTATTGTTTTGAATTTCCTTCTCTAAGCAAATGAATGTTTAAATGTCCACTGCTGCTATTTTCTGAATTGTTAACTGCTGTAATTGTTGCTGACACCTAACCAATGTAAGAACTTTTTATTTTTCTGATTAACAACTATCATCAGATTGCAAGACTGGATAAAGATAAGGAAGAACTCCATAATCAGCTGCTTAGCATTGATCCTACAAGGGATAGTAAACGTGTGGAAGCACTTTCTAGAGAAAAGGCACAACTGTGTCAGAAATTAAAAGCTTTAGAAGCAGAAGTAGAAGAACTAAGAGCAGAAAGACACAACAGTGTTGTGCAAGCAGAAAATGTTCAAAGAGTACAAGCACGACAATTAGCTGAGATGCAGACCATGATGAGATCTCTAGAGGTAAGACTTGGTTTTATTATTTTGCCTCCTTATAGAGTGTAGTAAGAATAACACTTGGCCTGACAGAACTGTCAGTGAAATCACTGATAATCTTGACATTGACTCCACAATTTGAATTTGTACATTTCAGATTTAAAATCAAATTGTAGTTGACCAGGAGTCATGCACTGCCAGTTCAGCTTTGGCAAGTCTCTCAACTGAGAGATTCTGCTGAATGATCTCCTTCCCAAATAAGCAAGTCATTTCTGTATTTGTAGTCAGTAAGAAGGACAGCACTTGCCACTTACTGGAGCTAGAAACCAGTATGTTAATAATCTGCTGCAGTAAATTCTTTATTCTTTTCAAAAATGTCACATGATGCTCCTCTCTTTAATCCTTTACTCATCTGTCATATTTTGTGCTTAGCTATGCCTCTTCTTTCTCCAACATGTTACTGCAGTTGTTTAGTACTTGGCTGTTGCTCTCCCTGTTGCTCTCCTTGGTATTTATGGCTTGTTGCACTTTTCCCAGGATTCCATTGTATTCCTCATCTCATTCTCAGATCTTCTGTCAGTTCTTGCTACCTCTCTAGGTAGCAAGCCTTTTCATCTACACTCTTTGCACAGTTGCAGCATGCAGATTTTCTTTTTTGCTATTATCAGTGCTGTATACCTTAGTTACAAAATGCTCTGATCTCAACTTAAGAAGTGCTGTAATCTTCTTAGACAGCTTTAAAGAGAGTCCCGCCGAAAATGAAAGTGTTCAGAAAAAGGAAGGTGACATCGTATATTAGATTACCTTTTTGATATTCAGTAAAGATCAGGGTCTATAATAGAGTCTATAATAGAGAGATTGCATTTTATTTCCTCTCCAGGATGTTAATTCTTCTGTCAATGTAACTGCATAGGCCAGATTATTACACCTTTTTGAGCACTATTTGTAGTTGCACTGTTTACAGCCCAATAATTTACTGGTAAGCATACCTGCTGCCTCCTAACCAAGTCAGATTACCATCATCCCTTATCAAGGAGGTTTGAAAATGGGAGTGATTTTATGCAGGAAGTATTAGTAAAAATAGTTGTAACTTTTGAGTAAAATTCAAGACCCTTGTTGTATCGGAATATATGGTTGAGCAAAGATGAATATTTATATATCATATTATATATTTTAACATGTTAGTAATACCTGAAAGCCCAGACCAATCAGACATTTCAGATGAGTAACAAGAGGCAACTCAGCTCCAAATATCTTAAAAAAACTTCCTTCATTCAAGGCAGAAAAGAAGTCTGCCGAACTACAGGTTGGTCGGATTGAGAAGGAACTGCAGACAAGTCATGAGCAAAACATTCTCTTAACTAGCAAACTTCACAAATCTGAACGAGAAGTCAATTCCTTAGCTGCTCAAGTAAGTACTTTTATGGTATCTGAAATATATTTTTCAGATCCTATTATAGTTTTCTGCTTATATTTTACACTAAGAATAAAGTAATAATGTCTTCTGCTGTGACTTAAAATAGGTATGGAGCTTTTCCTTCAGTTTCAGTTGAAAGACAAAGAATATGTGACTTTACAGGAGAAATGTCATAACTAAAAGTTTCTCTATAGATTGAGGTTATGTTCTTATTATTCTATCTTCTAGATCTTTTTCCTGAACAGAATGAGATTTGAAGTGGTATCTTTATATTCATGTTTTTGATGTTTATGAATATAGCTAGCCTTTAGAGCTTTAAACTTATCTTTCTGCCTTTTTTTTTTTTTTTGTAATGGACCTATG